TCTGAGATGGTGGATTTGGGGTCTTCATGAGCTATAAGCTATAATCATCGCAATTATGACAAATCACAGCTTGAATTATCTTGCTTTTCATGTAATGAGTTTTAAGGCCAATTTTTTTTTTGAGCCCAAATTGAAAAACCCATGAGGGGACTTCATTTGGGGTGTTGCAGCCCCTGGGCCTCCTAGGCATCTAATGAAGATACAGAATAATAAATTTAAGATCCTATTCAAAGGTTTTATTTCTTTTCGTGGCTGCGGTTCCTTCTTTGACTGCAGGATTGCTTACTAAAAAAAGGTGACCTCCTTTTTATATCACTAGCAAAGAGGAACATGTTGCGTTGCTTGGAAGAGAGCTGGGCCAGAAAGATTGCATGTAATGGAACATCGAGGACTCTTGTGCGAATCAATAGCGACTGTATATTAAGTCTGTAAACTCACCTGGAATAGGCAAACTGTCCTGGAATTCTCCAAACCAATAAAGCTCTTCTGTTGCATTGTGGCTTTTGACGTTTCTTGTCCTGCTGGTGATTGGACGCAGACAAAATCTGGTGGGTAAGCTGGCAGTGATGAAAAACAATGGAAGCACCAAAGACAAGGAAGGGGGGAAAACATAAGGCGGGCAGTATAGTTAAGGGTTACTTAGAGTTAGGGTTGAGTGCAGAGATCAGGCATTCAGCACCCTGGAGGCCCGAGGCCAGACGCGAGAGTCAGCAGCGTTGGAAAGATGAGAACGGCGGGAAGGCAATGCCCTTGGAGGAACCGGCAGGGATGTTGGCAGCAAGCAAAAGTCTTGTGTACAGGTGGTGGACACAGAAAGGCCAGACGATCCAGTTTGGCAAGAAATGAAGAATAGGTAGGGAAAGCCCCTGCCAGTCCTTGGGGAGGAAGAGAAAGAAACTTGTGAAAATGAAAGCAGATAGCTAGCAGCGAGCAGAAGAGACAGATTGGTTGGCAGCAAGTGCAGGAACTAACAACAGTGGCGACCCTTTCAGGAGAGACGGTACAGTCACGTCACCTCTGATGGGTCTCTTGAACGTGTATGGTCAGCATTCCCATTCAGAATTAAAGCTCGGATGATTGCTGTTTATCTGCACCTGGCCTAGTAGGGAGCGGTGCCAACTTACCGTTCAGAGACTGCAACTGATAGAAGAAACCCATCTCCCACCCAGATTTCAGCCTCCCGTTGTGACTCTGGGCTCCGCTCTATTCGCTGCTTTACTCCCACATCTCACTCAACCGTTTCAGGGCACCATACCGTCCCAGGGAAAAGAGCAAACTCTTCATCAGGGCTTCATCAAAGCTCTTTTTCTCAGGGTCCCTTCGTAGTAGTAGCAGCAGCAGCAGCAGCAGCAACCAAGTTATTCCCATCTGCTCCAGCTAAATATATTTTCTCTGCTAATTGTACCAACTATTGTGGTGTCCTGGTGAGAAAAGAGATTGCTACCGCTTGAGAGGCCGTTATCTACATCACCGATCCAGTTGCACCCATTAGGAAATGTAACCCAAGGCTTCCCCACCTTACCTCAAACTGCAAGCGCTCTCTGCACCACCGCCACCCCGTGTACAAAGATTAGGGCGGTGGTCTCTGCAGCCACCCACTCGACTATTTCTCTTTCCCAAAAGGCTGGCTGATGTAAAGTCTCTGCCTCAGGGCTCTACCTGCAACCATCGAGGAGCCTAGTTCTAGAAAGTGGGAGAAACAGGTGTTACGCTGGCCCCTTGTTTCCCCAAAAGGGGGCTAGAAAAAAGACAAACACCCCCCTATGCTTGGGAAAATAGCACCAACTGAATAGGATGAAAAATGTCAGGAATCCACACGGAACAATGTTGTGCTTCATTTGCCGCCAACTTGCCACAAATCTTCCTCCCTTCCATTTTGGGTTCTGCTGCTGTTGTTGCTTCTGACGTGCGCCCTGCACGTCCTTTCTGGACCTTCCCTGTGACCAAACCTAAAGCATCTGGGCCCATAGGAAAAGGGCCTTTTCTGCACAGCTTGTGCAATGGGACATTGGACAGCGGCTCTTCGCCCGACTCTAGGAGGATACAAGAATAGGGTAATCGTGCATCTCTTTGACCGAGCTTCCGCCTGAAACTTATCCCGATACTTCATTTGAACTTATTGGAATGGCATAACATTAATAAATATAATACCAAGTGAAAATTGGAGCAAAGTAAGCACCTTGATTAAAAAAAACAAATGTATTGCTGTTGCAGGCGTGCACGGTTACGTTTAGTCTTCCGTGTGGTTTATGATATAAATGTGGGCAGCGATTAACCTTAGTTATTTTCAGAGTTATGGATATGTTTATTTCTACAGTTTAATTTGGTACACTACAATTTAAGGTATCATCTACATTTATAGTTATTTCTAATTTTACGTTTGGCACTTTTATTTCTAAGTTGCTTTATATCTGCCCAGCTTTTGTTTTTTCTACCATCTAGGTGCCTCAAAAAACACTAACACATAATGTATAACATTATTGCAATTAAAATCCCTTTTAAAAATACACAAAACAATCGTTTGGCAATCAAAAGCTCGGCAAAAGACATGCGTTCTTACTTTGTTCCTAAATTCCTGAAAAATTGGGGGGGGGGCCACGAGCATCACCCGAAGATTCTGCTGCACAACCCTGGAGCCACACCAGAAAAGGCCCTTTCCGCAGACCAGGAAGTTCTGGGAAGAGACTTAAAGGGCCCATCCTGCTATCTGCCACCGAGACTGCAATCTTTCAAGAGAGGCAGCCTATCGTCCATCCACCCAACCCAACTTTCTCCTGTGCGCTGGCTGAATTGCAACTCCCCACTTTGTCCCCTGACTACCTGGCGCTGCTTTCGCTTTGGCTCCCTACCTTATTCCATTTCCCTCCACATCTTCCTAAAATTAAAAAAAACAACTAAACCTCAGTGAAAGCAAAAGAAAAAAGTGGCTAAGGACAACTTATCTCGTTCTGTCTGTTCCTTCAATAACAGCCAGCTCAACCTCCATTCTTCAGTGCTTTGGCCAAAAAGCTCAAGCTCTCAACCAGTGGGTCTTCCTAGGTCCACCCTAGTGGGGAGTGAATTAAGCTGTGACTGAGGGAAATTAGCAAACTGCAAGCTTGGCCCTGCAAAGACTGGAGCCTCCTGTTGACACTGGCTTTTTAGTCTTGCGTCTGGGTGGTGGGCAGATGGCTTCTGGCACTCTGGACAGCAAGGGAAGACATCTCCTAGCCTTCCTAACCTCAACTCGCTTTGGACAAAGGTGGGCAGGCAAAAGGCCGCATCCTTCGACTACATGCCCCATCTTGCTATTGCTTGCCAAAAACTGGAGCAGATACAGCCCTCGCTTTCCTCCGCCCTTGAAAAGGTAAAATTAGTTCTCATATGCAAGCAATTCTTATTTTCCATAACTCTGTACCTCGTTGTAGTAATATAACTTTATATTATGAACCTCCTATGGCTCTTGGTCAAGTTGCTTTTATTCCTAGTCTAATTAATTCTTCTGCTCCAGTTTTTG